GGAGCTAAGGTTTCCAAGACTCATTAGATGTCTTTGTTAATGGCAATATCTCAACATATACATAGTATTTGATAATATATGATGGTTATAATCTTTGTGTAGCTCTAATAAACTAAAAGATCATTCATCGAATGAAATCTTAAAGTATGCTTCTTAGATCTTTCTATAGGGATAGCGTCCTTTCTTCATCTTACTCGTCCATAGTGAGTACCAGCTTGCCCACTGTTTGTCCAGATTCTAAATCACTGTGTGCTTTGCTGACTTCTTTGAGTGGATATGGCGTTACCTTGCCAACCGTAAGGAAACCCCGCCTCACCCAGGATAGAAGTTGTGGCATGCCTTCTTCCAAAACATCTCGGCGATCAAAGAGGAAGCTTAGATTGAATGCCATGACGCTTTTACTGTCATTTGCCATCTAAAGAAAGAAAAATCAATCACACAATCACCCAATCACCCAATCAATCAATCAATCAATCAATCAATCAATCAATCAATTAGTCAGTCAGTCAGTCGGTCGGTCGGTCGGTCGGTCGGTCAGTCAGTCTGCCAGTGAGTGAGTGAGTCAGATCAGTCAGTTCTCCCGCTTACACACTGCCCCGCCAATCCAAACCGTAGATGCAAAAGACCATCCATGTCAAGACCGTACGTAGTCTTTCATTAGTCACGATACCTTTAGAGGATCAAACTGAGGAGCAAACTTGCAGTTCCATCCGATTTGCATCCATTTCCAACAACTGATGTTACCAGCACAATTTCCACTGGACTTTGGAAGCATGGTGTGAAAACCTAACAGACATAAAGAAATATTCCTTATAAAAATTGAAATCATCTGCTTCACATGACGTCCTTTCTTAGATCTTCCACCTTCCACAGACTTCCCTCTCCGTTTTCTCTTAAGTGCCTGTCCCCCTGTCCTCCAGATCCCTCTTATCAGCCCTCCGCCACACAATTTACCATCTGGGTGAGATTTCTGTGACGTACCATTCAACTCCCAAAACTAGCGTTAAAGACAGCACCGTTAGCTAGTTAAGTAAGGAGACTTTCTTCCGAGCATAGGAAGAAGGGTGTAAGTTGATTGCAGTTTTTATCATAAGATAATGATGACTCTGTAAATGCAAGGATGATGAATGGGTTAACTGGTTATCTCTCCCTTGTTAGCTCTCCTATGAATC